CTGCAATAAAATTAGTTGTGTGGATAGCTGAAACACAGCGCTACACAATGAACCATTAGCTGACCTACGAAGTCCAGCTTTTCCAGAGTTATGAAGTTCAAAGGCGAAATATGTGTCATCCATTGTCATCCGTCATAATTCTCTTTATACTGAAGCAATCGAGGCAGAATTGTGTCTCTGACCTACATTCTTGACGGAGTATGCGCACACAAATTTTCAGACATCCAGCACTTATAATGGCTGAGATCCTCTAGGGTCGGGACTTTTGGTCACTACTGTATATATATATATTAATTTTATTTAGTTCAATATAAAACTCAAAATAATATGTAAGTATTATTTTAAAAAAATCTTTTTTATTTAGACCAATCGCAATAACGAAATCAAAAGTAAGTATCATTTTCTTATATATGTTTCTTTTTGATTTAGGTTAATCTAGAGTTGAAAATAAAATGTAAGTATTATTTATATTAATTATTATCTTTTTCTATTTAGGTCCATTGGAACAAGGAGATGCAAAGTAAGTAATTATTTCTATGTATATATTTGTTTTTCTTTATTTAGTGCAATATGAAGTTCAAAATAATATGTAACTATTATTTATAGTACTTTATTTTTTTATTTAGGTCCATCGCGACAAACGTAATCATGAGTAACGCTGAGGACTAATTTTAAGGCACACCGATTCAACCTGTCAACCTTTTCCCTCGCATAACAACAAAGAACTTTACGAAACAGCGATGTCACGGCTCACAACTGTACATGTTCTTCTAAGGAAAAAACAAATTCTAAGTGGTTCGAATGATACTCCATGGAAAAGTTTAGATTGCCAAATGAGATTTTTTTGTCTATTTGGCAATCTAGACTTTTCCGTGGAGTGTCATTCGAACCACTTAGAATTTGTTTTTTGCTTACAAGAACATGTACAGTTGTGAGCCGTGGCATCGCTGTTTCGTAAAGTTCTTCGTTGTTATGCGAGGGGAAAGGGTAACAGGTTGAAATGGTGTGCCTCAAAATTAGTCTCGAGGGCGGGTGTGTTTTATACACTCTTTCCGAAACCCTTGCATGGGTATATGAGCATCTTCTAAACCCTTTACGAAACATTTCGGTCGGTTTATGTCTGTTTCCTAAACCCTTATATGGGTTTATAACTGTGTCATAAATCCTTGGTTAAACCCCTACATACGTTTATGAGCATTTCCTAAACCCTTATATGGGCTTATGAGTGTGCCCTAAACCCTTGGCTAAACCCCTACATGGGTTTATGAGCGTTTCCTAAACCCTTTGCTCAATCCCATCCGTACTTAGTCATCATCATAAACCGTTTTTGAGGATTTATGTAAGGGTTTATTGATTTCCTAAACCCCTTCATATACCCTTAGTAAGAGTATATCAAAGGATTTATGATTTTCCTAAACCCTTAAAAGGGTTGTTGAAAGTGCAACGTATAATAAACCCTTAAAGGGTTTAAGAACTTCCTAAACCCTTTGAAAGGGTAGATGAAAGGGTTTATGAATATTCTAAACCCTTTATTAAACCCTTAAAAAGGGTTTAGGAAAATTTTACATACGGTAAAAAGAATTTATTATACGTTGCACTTTCATCAACCCTTTTTGGGTTTATTATTCTACGACTTTTTTTTACAGTGCACCCATACCGACACCCTCCTTTTTCATAAGATATATTTCTGATTTTTATATATTCTTGAAAATATATCAAACTACAATTGAGTGTGAATTCAACGCCACTATTATATTTTTTCAGCTCCATCTTGTGGTACATAACCTAAATCTCTTTTTGTATGTTCCAAATCAACCCAAAGACGATGATTATTCGACATAACAAAATAAATACCACTAATATTTAAAGGAGCTTCTAATGCTTTACTAATAAATGAACATAAATCACGATGACTAAGCCATAGACTTCGATTCCATGTTGTTTCAGGTTTATCCTCTATATTAACCGCTCCAAAACGAGCACAAATAATTGATTTTGAATTATTCTTAACAATATCAGTTGCCATTTGTTCACAAATAATTTTACCTTTAGAATATACTGTACGTCCTGGTGTTGTAAGGTCAGGTAAAGGTGGATCATCTGCAACGGTTATTTTTCTAAGGTCTTTTAAGATTGTATTATCATCAAATGTTTCATTAAAAATTGAAAGATATGGTTGACGATCAAGATAACCATGAACTACCATTCCTGAACTTGCATATATAATACGATGAATATCCGCTAAAGCATAATATTAATTATTTCAAATATAAAAAGAAATGATAATAACATACGTGCTTCAAAAACATTTTTTGTTCCTTCAATATTAACATATGAAATTTGTTCAATATCAGGATGAGTTTCAAGTAGTGCTGCTAAATGAATAATGATTTTAATATTTTGTTCTTTAATGATTTGATGCAATTTTTCTCGATCAGTAATATCACATTGAAAGAATTTATTTAATGGAAGAGGTACTATTGTTTCTGCTTTAAAATTATCATAATTTTTAAATTGATATCGTGGAGATATATTCATATGTTGATCAAGGCCAAGAACTTCATATTTCGTTGGATATGTTTTAGTTAAATGATTAAACAAAAGTCTTCCTATTAATCCTGAAACACCAATTATTAATATTCGTTGTTGGTTTGCAGATAATTCTTTTTCATTGGAACTTATTTCATTCATAATTATTATTCTATAAATTGTGTAATATGAAACTGGGTATATCACAATCGGTTAACAATTTGCAACAAAAAAAGCAAAAAACGAACTTGAAGAATGTTTGATGAAAGATTAGATAAACCAAAGCAAACAATGAATAGAGTCTTCATCAGCTTTTGAATTAAGCAGAACATATACGTGTATCAAAATTTATTTTATTCACCCATTTTCGACACACCTTGTCTTATTATCAGGTTAACAATAAAAGCATGACATTATAGAAGACGAGCCATATAAGTGAGGCAAAGTTGATGTCAGCGAAACTCAAGTTTATTAATCATTATTCATATCCATTTTCTATATAGGGATAGATGTGGTGTGTGAGTATGGGTGTGGATATCGGGCGTGAATGTGGGTGTGCGGGTATGCGGGTATTCTTATTCCTCACACACACACACCCATGTCCATATCTCACCCCTAGGCATGCACCGAGCCCGAAATTTCCGGGATTCGGTATTTCCGGGTTCGGTCATTCCCGGAGTTCGGTTCTCAAGTCCTAATATTGGGGGTACCCTTGGATTCTCAAGTGCTAGTATTAGAGGTATCCTTGGGTCCTCAAGTTCTACTATCGAGGGTACCCTTGGGTACTAAAATCCTAGGATTGGAGGGTAACCTTGAATCCTAAAGTCCTACTATTAGGAGCTACCCTTGGGTTCTCAAATTCTACTATTGCTGCGCACTCTTGCAACCTCAAGTACAAACTCGCTATTTTATTAGTACAGGAAGTGGACCAATAAGATTTCAGGAGACCTTTTCTCCCTTATTGTAAGGATAAGATATGGGCATGTTCGGACCGATCATAGGTTATCGAGGATGCTCTATCGATTGATAGGCATATGTATGGGTCCCCACCCATCCCAATAATAAGAAATAGAAACTCGAAAAATGGACCAATCATATTTCAGCAAGGCTTTTCTCCCTTAATGTAAGGGCAAGAGATGGGTATGTTCGGGCCGATAATAGGGTGAAGACCCAACAGTACCGACCATGGTAGCCCTTGAGGACCGAAAGGTGCCTACCAATAGTGGAACTTGATGGCCCAAGGGTGTCCCTAATAGTAGGACTTGAGGACCAAAAGGTACCCAGAATAGTAGAACTTGAGGACTCAAGAATACTCAATGACCGAACCCCGGGAATGACCGAACCCGGGTATGAGCGAACCCTGGGAATGACCGAACTCGGGAACGACCGAACTCGAAAATGTCGAACCCGGGAATCCCGGTGCGTACCTGGGTTCAGTGCATGTCTACTCACACCCACCCACACCCACACCCATACCCTAATGTGTGAATTCGAATGAAGTCAATAATATAATTGTTTGACATAAATATATTAGTTGTTGGAAATAAATAAAGAAGAAGATGTCGAACATCTTTCATTTCAAGAGATTTAACACAATTTAATCATTCTATTCAAGAAAATTTTTCATTTCTTTTAGATTTATTTTCTTTTAAAGTTTAAGATTTTTATTTTCAGATGATAAAAACTTGAATTTATAATAAGGAAATGATAATTCATTTAATCAAGATAAATTTCCAATGAAATTTGGTAATAAAAATTAATTCATATTTGAAAATTTTAATGTTTCAAAATCAAGTACTTTACATATTTTTTATGATAAATAGAAAATAATTTAATCATAAATAGCTAAGTGAAGAATTCTTTATTTGAAATGAGACGTGACCGGATTCCACAAATTCAGAACTCTTGGGGAACCCTGGGAACTCTTAAAACCCTACGAACTCTTGGGACCCTGGGAACTCTTGAAACTATAGGAACTCTTGTGACCCTGGGAACTCTTGAAACTCTAGGAATTCTTGGAACCCTGGCAACTCTTGGAACTCTAGAAGCCCTTGAAACTGGGGTGTAGGTGTGGTTGTCGGTGTGGGTGTGAGTTTGGGCGGGTGTGGGTGTCGGTGTGCGTGTGGGTGTGGGCGAGTGTGCGTGTGGATATGAGTGAAGATAACATCAACACCCCACACCCACACCCACACCCACACCCACACCCACCCCCACACCCACACCCACCCACACCCACGTTTGTTAGGACCTGACCCCTATTGTTATTTTATTGTTGTTATCGTTTATCCATTTATTATATAACATGTCCTCCTTTTCTATGTTTTTTTTTGTTTTGTTGTTGTCTCTCTCTTCATTAGAAAAAATAAACATTCAGTTAGATATTGTACACGTTCGAACTCACTAACCCTTATATCTTTTTTTATTCGGTGCAGTATCTTACAACGTTTAGTGGTAGAAGCTTACAATTTTGGCGTCGGATAGCTGATTTTCTCTGTTGAAATGTGAAAAATCTTGTGTTGAAAACAAAATCAAGACAAAGAAAGAAAAAGAGAAGTCGAAAAACAGGCAAAATGTCTACTGGTCCTTTATAATTTGTTAGAGTTAATTTTTCTCGTTAATTGGATTATCATATGACCATAAAATCGATGTCGGTGACAGTTCTGTATGCTGCTGTTCTCGGCGTCGTCGTCCTTTCATAGTGAAAACCATGTTCATCGCTGTCATAGCCATTGAAAGGCCAACTGCAATCAATGAGACAATTACGATATATTGTGCTGTCTTACACTTTTCAGCAAACGGATATGTTTGAAGAGAACAGGAAACAGTATTGAAATTAATGCAAATCATTATAAATGTAATCAAAAGAACGATGAATTGCCACAGTGCCAAGGAAAATAAACTTGTCAGAACATAAATTCTTTTACCAGACAAAATTATTAGAACAACACCATAAACAATGGAAAAGAAACCACTAATGAAACCTGTGTAGTAACTAAAAAAAAATATCGGTGTAGAATTTAGAAATGCTTTCTTTAAAAACTTCGACGACTCACTCGATTACATACTTAATGATCAGAGAAATATTTACGCCTTCTCAAAGAGATTTCTACTTACCTGAAAAGGTATCCATTCAACAAAAGGCCAACATCTAAACCAGCTATTAATAGACCCAACACAATGTAAGCAATACCAGTTTTTTGTAAATTTCCTCGTAATGGTAGTGGAATATTTATGAGGAGGTACCGGTTGCTGATGTTATTGGCTGCTAGTTTTCTTGCTCGCCATTCTTGTATAGTGATAAATAAACTAAAAATTGTTGAAGCTAATAAAAGAAGATAGATAGTTATGGCCAGCATTGCAAGAATTTTAGATCTATATTTTTTTAATAAATACTGTTCACAATAGTCATCCGTTGGAATACATTGAGGACTATGGGAAGAAGTAATAACTAAACAACTGAGAATTAGTATTGACAATAAAATTAAGAGTTGAATGATAATCAATGCTAATAAACTTTTTAAAGCATAGATCTGTTGTCGACAGAGAACTAAGAAGAGAATACCACCGTAAATTGAATATATACCATTGATGAAAGTTCCTATGGTACTGAAAGAGAGAAAATGAGTTTCACTCAGTTGTATTCCTATCTTAATCTTACCTGTAATCGTAACCATTGAATACTTGACCAAGTTCAAATCCGATTAAGAGGAGACCAAAGACAATAGAACAAATTCCTGTGACAGTCATTTTTTTTTTAAATGGTAATGACAAATCTTCGTAGAGAAACATTTTCTGATTATCAATATTCATCACTAACGAGACAGGTGTTGATAATGCTGGTATGGGCTCGCCCAGAGTCTCATCTTGAGCTACGTTCTGCTGCTGCATTTAATCGAACAGACTAAGTGATGGTTTGACCTGTGTTTTGGGATTGGTACTCTATTCCTACTTTTCTTTTATAAGAAAAATAATCTCAATTGATTCAATATAATCTTAACTTTTTCTCTATTTTGTTCGTGCTTGTGAAGACACTCAAAAAACTGACAAGAAAAGTAAATGAATTTTCTTCGTTCGAGATTAGAGATAAGGTATGAGTTGTTAAGTAAAGGAATAGAGAAAAATATATATCGATGAGTCACAAGAGTTTTTAAATAGAAAAAGATAAGAGTGAGGAAATATGGCAACTTTTTCTTTCTAGAGGATCTATTCAATGAATTTTACTCGATTTTTGATTAGTTTGATTCTCAAACTTATTTTAGTTTATATCTTAAATGTGGAGAATGTATACTCTATCTAATTGGATTTCTATCAATAAAATAAATATACGGTTTATTAAACTATGTCGTCTTATTTCTAGACAAATTCATATAGAAGTAGATTAGTTTTAATAGTAATCACTCGAGGAATAGTTCAATGTGATTTTTTGTGGCAAACTGAATATCTACTGAAATTCGTCAACTGAAAAAAACAGCTTACTTTGTTGATTTTTAGTGCATCCGCAATATATTGTGCGTCTTCATCACTAATTTCATTTTGACCAAGACAAATAGGCGAGGATATGTGTGAAAAAGTAAACAGGTACAGAAGAGTTTAAAATGTGAGTGACTGTATGTCTAAGGGCAAAAAAGTAATAGAAGTTCTCATTGATCAAAATTGTTCATTTCTGTATTTATCGATGAAAACATCTTGTAAAACTGCTTCTTTAATTGTTTTCAAGTAAAACATTTCTACTTTCTATTTTCAATAAGAACTCATAATACAGGTAGCAATGGTTTGCATTAATTGTGTTCGAAATTTTCATCTGTGAAAAGTGTTCGTTTTCGTACATTTTCATATCATAACTTTAGAAAAACAAACTCATCGTTTGTTAGCTTGCAAATCAACAAATTAGCTATTTAACCTTGAAAAGAAACTCATAGTTTTATAGTATAAGAATTCTGTGACACGATAAAGAATAGTAAAGATCCTATATAATCTTTCACTGGCTTGATAGAGTACTTAGCTCACATTTGATTGGAATGGAAGATTAACATTGATAAAATTTCCTTGAAGGCATCTAATTATGTTATTGGAAATATGATTTCAAAACACATAATAATAAACATAAAATTAGTTGGTTAGGAAGTCGAAATTAGGATCCTAGAGATTCTCTTTGAATAAGTAACACATCCGAATGAAATCTTCAATGTCAATCAAATCTTGACAAATTTTTCTGAAAAGTCTCTCTATTATATGTTTGGATCTGATTGTTCATTATGAAAAATATTATGCTAATTTATGTACCAAAATGAGGATCTTTACATCCGGAAACAGTTAGAGAGACTACTTACTTGATTCTGTTGTAGACCGTCTGCAAAATGTCTTGCTCTATTACCTTCAGTTTTATTTGAAAAAAGATTCAGGTACATGATTGTTTAAATAAAAAAGTGAATGAAGATTGTATTGAGTACGAAGTCTAGACATAGTAGGAATAAAAGGATATGCTTTCCTACAACCATCATGTAATAAATAAATAAACATTTCAATTCAAATTACTTAGAATATTTTACTGTACGTTGTTCGAGTGAATCAGTTACAAGAGGAAAAAAGTTCATTCCGAGCTGTTCGAATGGCTAGAAATAGGGGTAGACCAACTTTTCTAACTGGAGAAATTCCATGCATACTGGACGATTGGTTTTCATTTGACCTTTAACCTTTTATCCGATGACAGACAAACAGGCACTCGATATCATGTGTCTAGATAGTTCACCCCTTGTTCAGAATGACTGCGAATGGATGGAAATAGATAGGAATGCTCGAGTGAATTTGCTCCCCTTTGGTTAAAATTTGCTTTGATTAGAAAAATCCAAATAATCAATTGAAATGGAGTCAATTTTAACTGATTACTAATGCAATTGTATCATCTCTATTTGAAACAATTCATATAGGAGTTCTATACTTAATCTATTTGCGTAAGTTTGGTTCAATGGCCAATTTATACATTTTAAACATGAGGAATCGAAATAATCACGTTAAATGAGGGGTTCGTGTTCGAATCTAGATAAAAGTACATATCTTCAATATGTATGATTAAAATGGGTTAAAAGGTAATAAATGGATTAGAATCGACTAATAGTTAATAATAAATTAAAATAGATTAATAGGTAACAATAGATTATAATTGATTAAAAGGTTAACTGTACATCTCATAGGAAAATTGGAAAAGGTGAGATTATAATTGATTTATTTGAGGGTGTGGGTGTTGGTATTAATCCACACCCATACTCACACTCACACACTCACACCCCACCCTCGTTTGATAATTTTGATTATTGTTGATCATGACTTAACTATTACTTGATATTGTTACTTATCCAGTATGAAATTTTCTGATTAAAATTGAATTATTTTGTAGCAAGTTCGAAGTTATTAATCGATCTGTATTCTCGATTTTGCTGCAGAATAATCCAACTTTAATCAAAAAATTTCATACTGGATAAGTAATAACATCAAGTAATAGTTAAGCTATGATCAACGATAATCAAAATTATCAATCGATTTTAATTTTGATTTTGTTGCAGAAAAATTCGATTAAAATCAGCGAATATTGTTCACTGAGATTTCATTAACTGTGATTCCAAACAAAACATCTGAAGAGTGTTCAACAAGAAGATGCTAATCCCTGTTACTCACGTATATTAACGTTGCCTTTTACTGATAAAACACTCGTCATCTCGACTTGCACAATCTAAACTCGCTAAAAACACAAGTTCCAACATTTCAAATACCCATCATGAAAGCATAAAATTCGTTTAAAAAAATTATGGTCTTTTAAGACGTTTTCATCATTTCATATTGAAACTTACATCGAGACTTTTCTACATCTACGAAATAACCATCAATCAAAGACTCACACACTACAGTCGACATCTTTAAACCAAAGGTTCACTGCATTCTACATCAGCTGAAATGCATTCCGAATATTTTCATTAACCTGCAAATTCTATCAGTAATTCTTCGATCCGCATTTCCACTGTCTGCACAAAACTAACTCATCTACCATCATTTCATCACTTCAAAAAAAAAAAAACGAAACATCATTATTATTTATTAGATATTCAAACTGAAAACTGCACACAACTAATATGGTTCAAAACAAACATAGTAAAAATATTTAGACACGGAACTGGCAGGTTAATTTAGCTTTTTTCCTATACCATCAACCGTGCCAACGTCACGATCTTACTAATTTTTTATTTCGCGCAAGCAATTCTTTTATATAACCTTGAAATTTGGCTTCAATTTGATTGTTACGGAGATCTAGTGTTGTGAGTGTCTACGTGAAAAAGTAGATATGCATATATGACATAGTTAAAGAGAAAATCATGGTCACCGTGTTATGTTGTAATGCGTCAATGATACGTTGTATTCCTTCGTTTTCGATTCCATTGTTACGGAGATCTAGTGTAACGAGTGTCTGTGTGAAAAAGTGAAAATGTACATACGAGATAGGACAAGAAAAAATGATGATCACCGTGTTATGTTCTAATGCATTAGCAATATGCTCTGCTCCAAGAGTTCCGATTTCATTGTGTCCAAGATCTAGTGCGGAAAATGTCTGAGTAAAAAAAAAAGCGGACAAATTTGTATAAGATAGGTGAAGAGAAAATGATAATGCACCATGTTATGTTGTAATGCATTAGCAATATGCTGTGCTCCGATTGCTCCAGTTTTATTCCAGCAGAGATCTAATGTGGTGGGTGTCTGTATGAAAAAGTGAAAAGGTGTATATGAGATAGAACAAAAGAGAATGATAGTCACTATGTTATGTTGTAATGCATCAGCAATATGTTGTGCTCCTTCGTCTCCGATGTCATTGTTGTAGAGACGCAGTGTAATGAGTGTCTATGCGAAAAAATAGAAACGTATATACGAGATATGTGAAAAGAGATTGATGATCACTGTGTTACGTTGTAATGTATCAGTAATGTGCTGTATTCCTTTGTCTTCGATTCGATTGTTACGAAGATCTAGTATAGTGAGAGTCTGTGTGAAAAAGAGTAGATGTACAGGTTGATTACGTTATTTTTAATAATTTTGTGTCGTTTGCTGGATTTATACAATACATCAAAAATTTTTTATTTCAGCACAGTTGGATAGGGCTTGAGCTCCTCTATCAAAACATATAATTTGTTTATTAGTTTCTCATGCTCTAGTCCAAAATTTGGATGAGTCTAAAACGAGTGCTAAGAAAAATTTTTGAAGGTTGTTGTCACGATTATTAATAGTTTTATTTTCCATATATAGACAGCCTGTTGTATACTCAATAGAATTTCCGATCGCACGTGCGCATCATATATTGAACGATTTTTTTTCGTTCCTCGCTATGACAGTTATAGCCTTTCTCGTTAGATCAATACGTTCAAATTCATCAAATTCATTTCAAATAAATGCCACGTAATAAAATATCCGACATTGTCGAAGGGCGTATTTTGCAACTATTACGTTGGGGATATTCTCAGTCTCTTATTGTGAACATTTTGAAACTTGATGGTATACATGTATCTCAACCTACTGTGTCAAATGTCGAACAAAAGATCGGTCGTCAAAGAAATTCCGAATCAAAAATTAAAATTTTTCGAAAGAAGCCATCACAAACACCTTCTATTATTAAGAAGGTTATTGAAAAGATTGATGTTAAAGAACCACCAACTCAACGTGCTATTGCTAAAGACCTTCACATTAGCCAATCGACTGTCTCGAACATTATCAAAAATTCTGGATTTACTCTTCGAAAGAAACAAAAAGTTCAAAAGTTAACATCATCGAATGTTATGAAACGTGGACAACGATCATTTAAACTTTATCGTCGATTAGCACGTGGTCGATATAAGAACTTCATTACAACCGATGAAACCTGGTTTTATTTAGATGAAACTAGTGGGAGAAGGAAAGTATGTTATATTAAAAAGACTGATCCCGATTATGATCGAATGATTATTCAACAAAACACTTCTCGACCAAAAGGCTTTATGGTATGGGGAGGTGTATCAAGTCAAGGAAAAACTACACTTCGTTTTGTTACACCTGGTACGAAAGTTAATTCAAATTATTACATTAACAATGTTTTAAAACCATTTTTAACAAAAGATGTTCCACGTTTATTTCGAAAGGGAAAAAAATTAAAATGGATTTTTCATCAAGATTCAGCACCAAGTCATACTGCAAAAGAAACAATTAAATTTTTGGAGCAGAATAAAATTCATTATATAACACCACAAGAATGGATGCCTGCCAGTCCTGATGCTGCACCAATGGATTATTCAATTTGGGGACATTTAAAACAACAACTTAATAAAACACGTATTGATTCTATTGAGGAACTTAAAAAGAAGATTTTATATGAGTGGCGAAAGATGAGCCAGACGTATATCGATAAAGTATTAGCTTCCTGGCCAAGGAGAGTCTTGAAGATTTATCAAGCTCGAGGTTCTCATATCGAACATCGATTGTAATTATCGTTTTTTTACGTTTTTATATATGGAAAATAAAACTATAAATAATCGTGATGATGACTCTTAAAAAAACTTTTTTTTACACTTGTCTGAGATTTAACGAAATTTTGGGCTAGAGCATGAGAAACTAATAAACAAATTATATGTTTTGATAGAGGAGCTCAAGCCCTATCCAACTGTGCTGAAATAAAAAATTTTTGATGTATTGTATAAATCCAGCAAACGACACAAAATTATTAAAAATAACGTAATCAACCTGTATATCACTTAAAGGAAATTTTGTCATCAGTAACTTAGTAGAAGAACATAACAAGTGATTAGATGAACGAGAACTTCAGTTTTCTTTGAGAGAAGACCACTAATTCATTTCCTGATTTCAAAAAACATCTCCTGATTTTTCTCCTGATTTTTCTCCTGATTTTTCTCCTGATTTTTCAGTAAAAATCTTCTGGTAAACTCCTGATTTTTCTCAAAAAACTCCTGGTTTTTGAAATTTGGATTTGGCAGCCCTGTATACCGTTCACCTTTCTTAAGATCCAAACGTGAACTAAGCTCGAATATTACAGTTGAAACCCACTACACTAAAAACAAAAAAGGTTTCGTAGTTTTGTAGCGAATTCGAAACCCTTTTTTGGTTTCGTAGTGCTATACGAAACCCTCACGAAGACGTACAAAGCATCCAGCAAAATGTTTTGAGGGTTTCGTAGTATTATACAAAACCGAAAAAGTGTTTCGAATTCGTTAGAAACTACGAAACCTAAAAATGGTTTCGTGCATATCACGAAACGCTTTTTTAATTTCGTATAAAACCTTTTCTGTTTTCAGTGTACCAACCTTACGTCTAATGATAATGTAAATCGGTTGTCGTTCTTCGTACTAATTACTATTTTTATTTATTTTTCCAATCTTGCGGGAGTGTGCGCCATCTTTCAGCTCTCTTTTTCTACTGGCTGCAGCAGATAAACCACTGAAACGTTTTTCTTTTCTTCTTATATCTGCAGCTGGTCAGGTGAGTGTTGTTGATCTGGAAAAGTACCTAATAACGACTAGATTCGAAGCTGAATACGCATGAACTTCAAGTTAATTGAACTACTTCTCTAACGAAAAATGCAATTCATATGTTATCGTTGATTTTATCTCCATTATTACTAACCATTGAATCACAAGGAACAGTATGTAACAATAAAGTTAAGGGGGAACCCCCACTCCGAAAGTGAATTTTTCTTGAAAAACTCGATTTTTGAAAAAACACATATTCTAGTAATCCTGAGTGGTCTCTTTCAGAATATGCATAAATTATATAAGAACGGAACATTTTGCCAAATTTTGGGGCATCTATTGGAAGTCATAGTGGAAAATCGACTGTTGTGTTGATCTTTTCCCCTTAGTTACCGGTAATTAATATCGTTCCATCTTCTTTATCAACAGTATAAAACCATCGATGTATCAAGTAATCATGTTCTGACTGTTGCAGTCAGAGAAAGAAGCTTCAAAATTAGATTATTTTTCGTAAAGGTGGCGCCACAGTAAACTTAGATTTAAAAATTAGCTTCATTTTTTTTTGAAAACATCATCAACTGCAACAGCTTTTTACATACTTTTCAATGCTATATAACATTCTCTAATTTCCTACACAGAAACATTATCAACTACTTCGCAATGTTATTATTCGTTTTTCTCAGCTTCACTATTTTATCATTTACTGATCCCTGCGGAACATTTTCCCAGTCCACTGTTTGACGTACGTTGGTAATATTTTTTTTATTCAAAAGATGAGACTTTTCTCTAGAAATTGTAAGGACAGATTTTTAAAATATGTATCCATTATTCAGTTATATGAAAATCTTTGAAAGAGCTCAAAACAGTTTTCGCGATTCTCAGTCTTCATTTTGAAACAAAATTCAACATTTTCCATGCTATCGGGTATCGGGGAAATGTTTCGTGCCAGAAGCCCCCGTTTTTAGTAGTAAATTGAGTATAACTCATTAATTATCAAAACTTATTGGTTCAAATTTTTATCAAATGCTAGTTACGTTAGTTGTTCTATTTCCTGAAATTTTCATCGAAATCTGCTGTACCTTTTAGAAGATAGATTTCGGAGTGGGGGTTCCCCGTTAAGGATGAAGTTGTAGTTATACGAGTAAAAGAAATTATGTAACGAGTCATCAAATAGCACTCAGACGATCCTAATTGTGACTCAAGAGTTATGGCTAAATATCATCTGAGAAAAACTAATATATGTTGGTGCTAGTTATGACACAAAATACATATAAACATATAAGATGACGTTTGAGCTATAACACAACACCTATATATTTAATGATCTTATGAGGGAACTACCCGAGGTGCTAAAAACCTTTTTGGTTAGGGATGTGATGGTTAGATAGGGCACAGTTAGGAGTGGTATATCCTGAGTTAGTTCACCCCCAAGTTGCTTCTAGCAGGAGTTATGAATTTTTCAAGTTATAAGCAAAATATGCGTTTTGCCTCTAAATCTTATTAGAGACGTGTCCAAACTGATTAACAGTTTTTGAATTCGAACTCTGTGAGTAAGGTAGACTCGAATGAGGCATGAAAAACCTCAAAAGTATAAGGGTCCATAGACCTTTCCTCTAGAGTTATAGCCATTTTACTGGAATTATAGCCTATAGCACGATATACACTAACAAATAGAATGACCGTATTTCGACCTGAAATTTTGCCTACCGATATGTCTACTTATAACTAGAACGCCCCGAAACTTTCAGCTTAAGGAAATACTTTTTCACAGGATATTGAATTTCCAAAAAGACATGAGACTCCCATCTTTCATGGAATATAAGCGATTTTTGAAAATGCAATATCTCGTGAAGGAAACATTTCTTTTAGCTGAAAGTTTCGGGGTGTTCTAGTTACAAGTAGACCTATCGGTAGGCAAAATTTCTGGTCGAAATACGGTCATTCTACAGGGTGTACCAACAGTCCGGCGGAAAAGTTAATTCAAATATCTCGTATATAACTCAAGAATTTAATTGATTTTTTTTTATTATATGTTAGTATGTTCTTTAAAGTTTTGTTTCACATAATTTAGTTTACAGTAAATGTTCAAAATGATTCCCATCAACTGAAATACATAAATCCATCGTTTTTGAAATCTTTAAAAAAAGCTGTTAGGCCAATCCCTTGCGGGATTAAAAATGTGAAATACGATGTAGCTGCTATAGCCGATGTTCCAAAAGCGATCGTTTTTTATGCATGTTGGAGTACATTCCCTCTTAATGGTTTACCTTACATAATAGACTTTGAACAGGGTAATACTCCATATATGCTTCAATCATATGTTAGTTATACATTATCTCTGATATTTTCTTGAAGTCTTCTATCGCAGTTTATCATGACCCCTATGCCCTGTCTGTCACGATCTGTGATAGTCCCAGAGCCTTGTCTGTCACGGTCTGTGATGGGTTCAAAGCCTGTATCTCACCGTCTGTGATGATTCCAGAGCCCTCTCTGTCACGGTTCCAAAGTCCTGTCTATCACGGTCTGTGATGGATCCAAAGCTTGTCTGTCACGATCTGTGATGGGTCCAGGCCCTGTCTGTCACGGTCTGTGATGGATAATTAGTTAACTACATAGTAATTAATTAATTGACTAAAATGTCTGCCACGGTCTGTGGACGACCGGGTGCAAATTTCTACCCCTAAATATTTCAACACTCCTTTCAGATCGTGTTTCACAAAATATTGTAGGAAGTTTCTTTTCGAATTAATTTCTTTTCGTTATCGGTTCTTATTTGGAATTCAATCAAATCTTTATATATATCTTATACACATAGGTCTTCACTTTACATTTATCGATAAACCATTTAAATGAAAAGAGACTTTGTCTGAAAAAAAGCGAGCTCTCGTGATTGTGGATACCTGGTAACTTGCACATCAAAGTGATATAATTTCACCTTGATTTCATGAATCTTTTTTATGAAGTTGTAGGACAAATTACACGCTGCGTGGGTTCATTAGATAATATTCAAGGATAATTCGACGTGCTATCGTTCATGGAATGAAGCAGGCCGTTGCAATAACCCGAACATCCGAGGGTGGCACATTTTCACAATTATCATAAACTTCGCCAATTTTGTGTTCTGTAGTTTTTGAAGGTCTTTTAGATTGTTATTTATTTACTACTATACTCATTTCACAAAAGCCTTGAAAAGCATCAATAGTACAGTCTATGTCTGGCGTTTTTATGCCAAATTTGACTTGTATTTTTCCTTTCACAAGGATAGGTAACTCAAATTTGGCCATTAATAAAACTATTTTACTTCTAATGTTTATAGGCATAGACATTTATCTGAAAATATACAAAACAAAACTTTAAAGAACATACTAAAATATTATAAAAAAATCAATTAAATCGCTTGAATTATACAGGCGATATTTGAATTAACTTTTCCGGCGGACTTTTGGCACACCCTGTATTTGTTAGTGTATATCGTGCTATAGGCTATAATTCCAGTAAAATGGCTATAACTCTAGAGGAAAGGTCTATGGACCCGTATACTTTTGAGGTTTTTCATGTCTCATTCGGGTCTATCTTACTCACAGAGTTCGAATTTAAAAACTGTTAATCAGTTTGGGCACGTCTCTAATAAGATTGAGAGGCAAAAACGCATATTTTGCTTATAACTTGAAAAATTCATAACTCCTGCTAGAAGCAACTTGGGGGTGAACTAACTCAGGATATACCACTCCTAACTGTGCCCTATCTAACCATCACATCCCTAGCCAAAAAGGTTTTTAGCACCTCGGGTAGTTCTCTTCTTAGTGAACACTATGAAAAAGTTATGTACTAGCGAAATTATGACAGCTAATCAATGTATGGCGAATCAATTGAAAAATAGGGTCAGACGAGAAATACTATTGGTGAAATATTTGTATTAGATGACGTCCTTCTTGATTTCATAGTAGAAGTTAGATTTTTTAACACTGAATTTTAATTTTTTTCTTCTCAGTACTCTGGTG